GAGGGAGGGAGGGAGAGAGACGTTTCACAGCTGCAGGTGTCTCACAAGCATTTTGCTGCGACGCGCTCCGCGTCAAGCAGTGCAGCAGGCGCACAGCCGCGCCGTTGAGTCGAGTCAGTGAAAGTGTGTAGAGGAGTGCGGTGTGATGCACGCATTGTGTCCTACTTTAAACGGCTATGCAAATGGTAATGATGCGCCACCAGTTGGCGTCCGGGCCGCCGCAGGCCTCAGGACCTGCCCCGCCAGGCCCCGCCAGGCCCCGCCACTCTTGCGGCACATCAGAAACTAATCCCAGCTCTGCCCCCGCTTGACGCTCTTCCACCGGCGGCAGTCCGGCACTAGCCGCCCGCTTCCTCGCCCAGCGCCTGCGGCGGCCCGGGTAGGCCGCCCCGCTCCACGAGCGTGTTCTGCTGGGCTGCCTACCCCGCTCTTCGCAGGCGCTTTCCAACGAAAAAGGAATATTTCATTTCAAGGTCGTGTATTTTTTTCTGCAGACGGGGGAGGTGATCCCGATGCCCGTTCCCGCCTCGTACAACGACGTGACTACGGAGCGCTACATCCGAGACCACGTCGGCGTCGTGTACTACGACAGGACGTTCTTCGTGCCGGCCAACTGGGACGCCGGGTCATCGAGGGTGTGGATGCGCTTCGGGAGCGTGCACTACGCAGCCAAGGTGGTGAGTGTCCCGCCTGGGCCTCGGCCTGAGCCTGGGCCTGAGCCTGGGCCTGCGCCTGGGCCTGCGCCTGGGCCTCGGCCTGGGCACTGGGAGGTGATGTCGTGGCGCCCTCATGAGTTCTGTTGACGCCCTTTTCCAGTGGATTAACGGGCACCTCGTGATGATGCACGAGATAGGGCACCTGCCCTTTGAAAAGGAGATCACGTCCAAGTTGCGGTTCGGTGCCAAAAACAGGGTCACGGTCGAGGTTGACAACACCTTGTATCAGCAGTCCATCCCACAGGGCAGGCTGGTTGAGATCAACACGTAAGCAGGAAAGGCGGTAAAATGCCAAAATCGCCGTTTTGACATTACTCGTAATTCGGGTTGTTCGTGTGTTTTTCAATACCCCATCTTCTTGCAGGGACATGGGCCCGAAGACTGTCCAGACGTACACCTTCGACTTCTTTAACTACGCGGGCATCCACCGGCCGGTGTACTTGTACACCACGCCGCACACGTACCTGGACGACATGACCATCACCACGGACGTGGACGGCTCTACGGGTGAGTGGGCGGCCCTAGCGGCGGGCCCGCCCCGCATCCAGCGCTTACTAAGCACGCCGGGTGCATCGTCTCACCTCCCTTGCTTTCCTTCCAGGATACATCAACTACGCCCTGGTGCTGGGCGGCGTGACCTCGCGAGAGACGCCGCGCATCCAGATCGACGTCCTGGACGCGGATGGCAACTTCGTGTACAGCCACACGGACCACGACGGGCTGAAGGGCCGCATCGAGGTCCCCGACGCGCGCTTGTGGTGGCCCTACCTGATGGACCCGGACCCGGGCTACCTCTACACCCTCCAGGTGCGCGTCACGGGCCACATCTGGGGCCACGACGACGTGTACCGGCAGCCCGTGGGCATCCGGACCGTGGAGTGGACCAACTCCTCCGTGCTCATCAACGGCAAGCCTATCTACATCCGGGGCTTCGGCAAGCACGAGGACGGCAACGTGAGTACGGGTCGCGCGATTAGGAGCGCTGTTGGCGTTGGCGGCCGCACTCCACGGCGTGAGGAAAAACAAAACAACGTCTCCTACTCCCTTTCGCACAGATTCGCGGCAAGGGCCTGGACTACCCGACGCTGGTACGCGATTTCAACCTCTTCAAGTGGGTGGGTGGCAACGCCTTCCGGACATCCCACTACCCGTACGCCGAGGAGATCATGGACTTCGCAGACCGAATGGGTATCATGGTGATCGACGAGTGTCCCAGTGTGGACACCGAGTAAGTTTTCGACGAAAAAGACTCCGCCCTGACACTTCCCACCCGCTCCCCTAGACAATCTGTCATTTTCTTTCATTTTCTGCCTAGAAATTACTCGCCCACGCTACTGCAGAAGCACAAAGACTCCCTCGGTGAGCTCATCCGGAGGGACAAGAACCGACCCAGTGTCATCATGTGGTCGGTGGCCAACGAGGCCAGGACGCAGCTTGCCGACGCGGATGCCTACTTCAAGTGAGTCGTTCACTTCAGCTCGGCCGGGGGCTATGAACAAGCAGTCGTGATAACCCTGTTTGAAGTTGA